AACTGTTCCCAGGTAGACTCCAGAAAGCATGTGGGGTTGGGCTCCTGACTGACCTGACATCCTGACACCAATACCTGACGTCGTTCCCTGGTGTGTCTACCAAATCCTTTACGCAGGGGAGGTGGAAGAATGTTAGTTGGTATCTTGAGGGACCTTCACTATTTTCTCCCAGTCCCTACTCATTCATACTTGCACTCTAACCTGGTCCCCCCAGGGGTCAGCCTCCACATCCTTTCGTTGGTAGTAATAAGCAGCCCCTGCCACGTGTGCTGCAGTCTGGGCCAGAATCTTGGGGCGCCGATTGGGGTGTACCTCGTAGTCAGCGATGACTTCGATTTGCAACTCTGGGAGGTTCTGGGATAGAGATGGAAGCTCATTTCAGCACGAAAGGAATCATGACTTTGCCCCAGAGAGCTCTAATATTAACAAGACCCTGTCCTCAGAAATCATTTGAAGGGAAAACATGACCTTAAATTTGGGGGTGCGGGGGTCCACTGTGAAGAAAATGATCTGTCCAGGAGGGCCCATGTTTGAAGGGAAATAAGGTCTTGCTCAGAAGCTTCTATGATGAGGGGCTGGGGCGCCTAGGTGGTGTAGTCGGTTGAATGTCAGACTCTTGATTTCGGCTCAGGTCTCTCAGGGGCTGGAGATTGAGCCCTCTGTGTCAGGCTCAACCCTCAGCACAGAGACCGCCTAAGACTCCCTCTGCCCCTCCTTGCACGCACTCTAAATAAATTTTTTTTTGGGTGCCTGGGTGGTTCAGTTGGTTGAGCGACTGCCTTCAGCTCGGGTCATGATCCTGGAGTCGCAAGATCGAGTCCCACATCGGGTTCCCTGCTCAGCAGGGAGTCTGCTTCTCCCTCTGACCCTCTTCCCTCTCGTGCTCTCTCTCATTCTCTCTCTCTCAAATAAATAAAATCTTTAAAAAAATTTTTTTTTTTTTTAGAGATTTTATTTATTTGACAGAGACATAGTGAGAGGGAACACAAGCAGGGGGAGTGGGAGAGGGAGAAGCAGGTCTCCCGCTGAGCAGGGAGCCTGACGTGGGGCTCGATCCCAGGACCCTGAGATCATGACCTGAGCCGAACGCAGACGCTCAACGACTGAGCCACCCAGGCACCCCCTCTCTAAATAAATCTTAAAATTTATTATAAGGGGTGACTGGTCTCTGCCTTCCAGAGTCCCAGTGTGGAGGAAGACCTGGCGCAGCTTTGGGGAGATCCAATGTATGTGTATGCGTTTTATGTGTATGTGTGGGTAGTGGGGAAACACTGTTCTGTCCTCAAAAGGGCCCGAAAACAGCACAAAACTTCCAGTCTAGGGCTAAGACAGATGAGAGATGCTTAGAGGATGATGGGCTTATTCCTATTTCACGTGGAGGCCAAGGGAAGTCTGGTTTGAGGTTCATATAATTAACTACCCATCAGAGTAGGGTGAGTGAGATTTATTCCAGACCTGGGGGGCTGCTAGAAGAAGGGAGCTGAAACTGGGGTAAGATAAAGCAGCATGGGGAGAGATCAAAATGTCAGGGATGGCTTTAGGATATCCTATCTGGGAAGTGGCTCTTGGCTCTACGTAGGTCTAGTCCTGCACTGAGCTTAAAAGAGCTGGAAGCAGCTACAGGCTTGGAAGCTGGGGGAATATATGAGCCTTGCTCACCTCTCTAACGCGGCCCAAGTGGTAGGCCACACACTGGTCCACAGGGTCAATCAGTTGTTGGAGGCGGCAGCTCTGCAGGAAGGGTTTGAGGGCCCGGTCAAACATGGCAGGTGTGCTGAGTACCAAGAAGGCCAGGGTAGGTCCTGGCAGGGGTAGGTGGAAAGTTGGAGGCAGGAGTGCATTATACCATGCCACCTGGAACAGAGAGAAAATTCAGCCCCACAAGAGGGCCAACTTAGACTTTTGCTAGGCTCATACCTTATCCTACCATTCAAGGCCTCCTACATCTTGCCTCAGTCTCCATCTCATTCATTCATTCAATGGATTTGTACTGATGCTGCATGATGTATATTTATGGGGGACTTCTCCATGGGGGCATTTGACAGGGAATTTGGAATAGAGAAGCAGAGAATTCATGAACAACTAAGAACCAAAAGAAATTATACTGTGATTAGTGCAATGACAGGGCCAAATGAGGGTCCTGTAAAATTAGAAAAGGCTTCTTGGAAGCTGTTTTGAAGGCTAGGAAGGAATCTGACAGACGATGTGAGGAGGAAGATTCCATTATGCATTATAAATAGAGGTGACAGCATTAACAAAGACATGCAAAAAGCTCATATTTGGAAAATAGCAAATCGTCCAGTTTGATTGAAGTGAATGGTTTGTAAAGGGAAGCTGGAGAGGGGTGGAGATCAGTAGGTTTGAGATTATGACTGGCCTAGAATACCAATTTAAGGAATATGGGTCTAATTTGGTGACAAGGGCTAGCCATCGAAGATTTAAGGAGTAAACCGACATCATCAGTTTTAGAAAGATCTGGCTGCAGTGTGGAGGATGGATTGCATACACAATGATAGCAAGCAGGTTACTGCAGTAATCCAAGTGAGGAATACTGGCCTGGACCAGAGCATAGAGGGGCTAAAAGGAAGGGAATGGATTTGGGAGATTCAGGTAACAGATTCCTAAAGGGCTTGGGGTCTGACTGGATATGGGGGAGGGAAGGGATGAGAAGTAGGAGCCCAAGATGACTGGCTCTGTTCAGTACAATAACTCTCATTACCCACCCAGGTCTACCTGACCCACCAGTCATTCTCACTCTCTCCATACCTGCCACCCATCACTACCTCCACACCTTTACTCAAGCTGTTCCTGATATTTGGGATGTACATAATCCTCTTTCCTTTTCACATGAAGCTCAACTCCATTTTTTCTGGCTAGTCCTTAAGCTAGAACCAACCTACCTCTCTTCCTCCATATTCTTTTCCAGCACTGCTGTGGGCCACTCAGTGGAAGGGGTGGAAATGGGCTGTCTCTTAAGCATCAGGCAAAGGGCTCAAGCTGAGTTGATTTAGCTTTGTCCAAGCACACAGCTCAGTACCGGGGGTAGTGGATAAGGAGGAAATGGATCTATGTAAACAAGGGTAGGTGGTGGTGCCAGACTTCTGTGTCAGGCAAGTGCACAGTTTCTGTATCCAGCCCAGCGCTGGTGACTGGCAATATCATGAATTATCCTTCTGTTGGTAGATGGAACAAACCAGCCAATTGTTCGCTTGTTCAACAACAGGAATGCCCTTCCCTTCTCAGATGGCCTAAATATTAGCTACGCAAACCTTCAGGCCTTGCCCTATCCTAATTCCTTTGGAAAGCTTCTAAAGTGACTGGCTCCAGGGGGTCACTTTCTTCCTCTGAATTATGGAGGTGGCAGAGCCACAAGATTACTGGATTATGTTTCTCCCATTCATCAATATGGCATTATATGGGGGTAAAAGGACAAACGTGCGACCGTTTCTCTACTTTTTTTTTAACAAAGTCGCCGTTGACACCCTGTCCCGATAGGTCAGAGGGACATGGGGCCAGAGCAGCTCGGGAAGGACCAGAAGACTGGGGCTTCACTCCAGTAGCACCCAGGCCAATCATACACCTCGCCCACCACCGCAGGAGGGATAAACCAACCTGAAACGGGTAAACCTCGAAGCCAAAAGGGCACAACGTGTCCTCGATCGTCCGCTTCAGTTCTGCGACTTGCGGCTCCATAGCGCACGCTACGCGCAGAGCTTTCTGGGGAATGGAGTTTCAAGGATAACCTGGTCCGTTAAGTTTCAAGGTAGCTCGGACTCCATTTCCCAAGAACTACTGGGACCAGCAGCGGGATAGCATTGACTCGGTGCCATGCATCTTGGGATATGTAGTTCACTTGGTCCTTGAGGACAACAACTACAGAATTCGAAAGCCTCAGTTTCCCGGCAAGCTTCACGGTGGGGGTTTGAATGTTTCACTTCCAGGGAAACGTAGTTAGGCAGCCTCCATCGCCGGTTGTCTCTGCGAGAGACGAACTCGGTTTGAGCAAGTGGCGCTGCGGCTGCAGATCCGAAGTCGGACTTTTCCGGTCTATAAGGAGGGTTTCAACCGAGTGGCGGCTGTACTCGCTGGCACATGTTCTGCGAGATGACGCCTGTGTCTTGAATCTGGAGAGGTCTCGACCAGGATTTGGCACTCTCAACTCCCACCTGGTATCTGCGTATCAGAGTATCTCGCTTTTCCCCTCCTTTCCCCAAGCGCTGTTCCCCTGACTAGTCCCAGTTTTGGCCTGATACTGCATCCCTACCTTTAGGATTACATCCCCGATTCCCATTCTCTATCTGACGTGTGGCTTTATTGGGCTGTACCTCGGGTATTCCGGGCTGGGAGAGCAAGGACACAAGACACCAGGAGGCAGCCTCGCAGAAGGTTATGAGTAGGAGCCTGAGCTGGTCCGAGCACCTTGACGCACTTCTCAATGCTACTGATGGAAATGTGGCCAGGATTAAGGTGAGGGGGCGCGTAAGGGCCCCCATTTGGAGTTTTGGGTTTAGGGACACTCAGAGCTTATTGGCCTGTGCACTTGTTTCTTTTGTAGCAGCGGCTGTATCCTCTTGGAGTCTGCACAACAGGTAAGTGTTGCCCCTTTTCTATCCTCCAGCCTTTTCTCTTTCCAGGATCTGCCTTTTTCCAGTGCCTGTACCATCCACTATTCCTTCCAAATTCCAGCTGTTTTCTTTCTTGAACAAACATCTGTTTTTTCCCCCCAAAGATAGCCCTCACAATTGTCCCTTACTTATTCCCTCAACAGGAGACCTGGCTGGGACCTGGATTTCCCCTCATCACTTGCCTCCATAGTCTGGTGTCCAAGCTCAACAGCCTTGGGCTCTAGAGACTCCCTTTGTTCCAGAGAGGCTGAGTTGGGCTGAGGCCCAAAGAGCAGCTTCTCTCTGGGATGAAGTTACTATTCTTCGATCCCAGCTTCAATCCCAGGCTCAGGTAAAGCACGTACTCCTAGGTTTTATGTGTGATGTTTGTGTGAGATGAGGATATCAGGGGTTGGGGAAACCCTTTACACAGTAGCTCATGTGGTTTTTCTTGCCTGGGTAGGTGACTGAGGCACTAAGACAGTCTGTGCAGGGGCTGCTGGAAGAGCGAGAGCAGCAGAAGTACCAGATCTGTGCCCTGGAAGGTATCTGGCCAGTTCTTTTTTTCATATGCATAGCTCATTATGTACACACACGATTTTGTTACACACCTCCTGTGCACTTACTTGTGTCTTGATTTGCAAGGGGAGTGTCTAGGCTCATGTGTAAAACTCTCAGAAGGGCTGACGCTCAACTTGTCTCACTACAGCATCACTAAGGTTGCTGCAGGGAGGCCCAGAGCGGAGGGCCCTCCTCCTGGAGCAACGCCTGCAGGGGCTGAGAAGGGAACTGCAGGGCCTTCGAAGCCAGGTGCAGGAACAGGGCCAAGCCCAAATACAAACAGGACCACGAAAGTGCAGTGCTTCTAGTGGCCTTCACCAAGAGCTGCAGAATGAGTATGTGATGGGCAAGTTCTCTCCTCCTTCAGGCCTCTAACTCCTGGTAGTGTCCTCTGGGCTTGTTGATGGGCTTTAGGTTAACACAGCTGTTGGCAACTCCTGTGGGAGGAGTCAGAGATTCTTTGGGAGGAGCTGAAGCTGCTGCGGGACCAGCTGAGTGAGTAAAAGATGGGGGGTGGGTACAGATTCACCTGTTCTCTTTTCTGGAGAGTCTTTTTGCTATCCCAGTAAGTGGCCATAGCTCTGATTGCTTGAGCTGCTCTGAAGTCTGGCCAAGTGTTTTGTCTTACCTCCATGGTGTGAGTCCAGTCTCCCCAGTCAGCTTGGAAGCTTCCCAATAGCTACACCAGAATGCTCTGTCTCACTTGTCAGCACCAGGCTGGGCACAAGGCAGGGAGGGGAAAGGAAAGTTGGAGAATAGCTTCCTTACATTTTTCTCTCATCTGAAGGCCAGCACCAGGAGCTGCTGCTGAAGCAGATGGCTGAGGGGCAGCAAGCTCAGGCCCACAGCTGGAAGGTAGGACTAGCATCAGACCTATCTCTTCATATCTCCCCGTGGAGGCCCCTTCCTTTCTTCTCTGTCTTTTCTGTTCTGCAGGTAGGCCAGGGTAGTCTTTTCCATCCCTATCTGTTCCTCTCTTGCCTGTGGTGACTCTACCTCCCTCCCAAGCTCTTCTTCCCAAGCTCTCTTCTCCAGGTTGAGAAACTGTCATTGCCCATATGAGAGTTCCATGTGTGCTGAATACGCCAGTGGTGGGGAGGGGGATTCCTCCTGCAGAGGGAGAGGTTTGGTCCTACCTGGTTCTGTGGTCTGGCAGATGTTGGAGCAGTTCCAAAGTGGCCAGGAGGGCAAGGGTCACACCCTGGAGGCTTCCAGGACAGAGGCACAGGATGCCCGGCGTGAACACAACCTCCACAGGTCAGAGGTTGTGGGTGCTTATGGCAGTGGAAGCGATTTGTCTCAGAGGCCAGGCATTGGGGACCAAAGTTCAGCTATCCTAGATTTTTTAAAAAGATTTTATTTATTTGAGAGAGAATGAGAGAGAGAGAGAGAGAGAGCGTGAGCAGGGGGAGGGGCAAAGGGAGAGAGAGAATCTCAAGCAGACTCCGCACTGAGTGCAGAGCCCAGTGTGGGTCTTGATCCCACAACCCTGAGATCATGACCCAAGCTGAAATCAAGAGTGGGACGCTCAACCAACTGAGCCATTCAGGTGCCCCTCAACTATCCTAGATTTGACATGGTTTGGTAGGGTGGTATGAGTATCTAGATTACAGCCCATAAAGGTAGTACTGGGCATTCTTTATTTGATACAGGGTCACTGAGGTATGTTCAGAGGATGAAGAGGGAGGAGACTGGAGTCCTGGCCTCAGGATGGACGACAGTTCTGTGCTGGGAGGGTCCCCTTGTCCCACAATCACCATTTTTTTTTTTTAAGATTTTATTTATTTGACAGAGAGAGACACAGTGAGAGAGGGAACACAAGCAGGGGGAGTGGGAGACAGAGAAGGAGGCTTCCCGCTGATCAGGGAGCCTGATGTGGGGCTGGATCCCAGGACCCTGGGATCATGACCTGAGCTGAAGGCAGATGCTTAACGACTGAGCCACCCAGTCGCCCCCACAGTCACCATTTCTGCCTCTGATTCTGTTCCCCTTTCCAGGACTTCTGTTCACATCCTGCAATCTCAGCTGCCTGTGGCTGCCACCTTCGCCACATCTCTTTCTTCATCTAGCTCTGAAGTCAGTCTTCTGGACAGTAAGAGCGGCTGGGAACTTTTAAGGAAGCTAGGTGGGGGGTAAGGGCAGGGATCCTAGGGCTGGATGAGGCTGAATCTGAATGGTGTGTGGGTGTCTGCTGTCTAATTGTTTGGCACTGGGTAGATGGAATCTCTGCCTCTTTTTTTGGTGAATCCATCATCCTCTGTTATTACTTATCCCAAGTTAGGCCTGTCTATTCCTCCCCATCAGACAGGCCCAGGGCTTAGTTCTATGTGTTATCATAGTGCTTGCTGATGCTTTGTTTTCTCTTCCTTTTCTCTCCTCTTAGATCTCCAGAGGAGCACACTTTCTAAACTGGAGCCCAGCAGCTTACAGCTCTAGGCCCAGAGCCTTGAGCAGGAGAACCTCTTCTTTAAGGGGCTCACAATGTTCCTGAGTGACCTGTAAGGACTTGAAAGAGTAGTTTTGCTCACCTTCCCCTCCAAGGCCCTGTTTCTGGGCCCCCTGCCCCTCTTTCTTGATCTAGTTGGTATCTGCCCTCCCTACTGAGGCTTGTCACTGCCTGCCCATCCCTGTCCACCAACTGCAATAAAATGTTTTAACCCTCCCCGATATCTTCTGTGAATCAGTACCTACATGGGATAGACTTAACTGTACCTTTGCTTCCTCCTGTTACTTGACTGCTTCCTGCCATCTCTCTCTCTGAAATCCAAGTTCATAGATATTTATAGCTGTACCTTCTGAGTGCAGGCCCTGCGCTTAGTGGAACTTGGAAGAAGATGGGAGCTCCTGTTCTGGTGGGTAGAATGAGGTAGGACAGCGCTCTGGGGCAGTGTTGCTATGGGGATGCAGAGGAGAGTGAGGCATTCAGGTAGGCCCTGGACCTGAGTACTAGAAGGCTTCCTCTCCTCATCTTCAGCTTCTGCCTCTTAAGGCTTACTCCAGTCCCGCCACACCGCTTCATCCTCAGCAGCCCAACCCAGCTTGCATTTCTGTAGCAGTTTCCTTGTCTCTTTTCTTTCAGTTTCTGCCTCTAATCCAGTGGCTTTTAAAATTTTTTGACTGAGACCTCCAGTAAGAAATACAGTTTACATCGTGGTAAATATACGTTTATATATTTGTTAAATGATACATACATGTATATATTTACTAAATAAACCAAATTTCATGATTTGTTTTTTTAAAAGATTTTATTTATTTGAGAGAGAGAGAGAGAGCACGTGAGCACAGAGGGAAAAGGAGAAGCAGACCACCCGCTGAGCAGGGAGCCCGATGCAGGACTTGACCTCAGGACCCCGGGATCATGACCTCAGCGGAAGGCAGATGCTTAACCATCTGAGCCACCCAAGCGCCCCCAGATTTCATGATTTAATACTCATTGAATCACTAGAAGTGATGTACTCTGACGTTTCCTATTATATTAAAAAAATAGGCCTTGTGGCTATTGGCTCTAATCCTTCCATCACTTGGTTGGAAGTATATCTTTCTATGTAGACTAAGGGCAGCTTTACTTTCACCTTACCTAGATTTTTGTATTCTAGACAATGCAGTCCAAGATTTCCTTAGAAGCAGCAGCATCCCACTAAGATCTCATGAGGTCTCTTCCACTGCTAAATATAGACAAAGGATAGTGGATATTTACTGAGCATAATACATACCAGCCCCGGTATGTATTTGCCCTCAGCTAAGATGTGCAGTGGGTTCATAAGGGTCCCAGCTCTTAGCTCCATCTAGCTGGGAAGAGGAGACAATTATCTGAAATAAAAGCATGATAAAAGGCTGAAATGAGTAGGTAGGAACTACTTCCTGTTATGGGGTATATTCAAGGCTTTGGCCTAAGTAGCAGACAGGTCATGAAGAGTGGACCTTTGACACCTGAATAGCTGTAAGGCATTCCTTGGTTCTTTCCCCTCAGTATTAAGGAGGTTGCTGAGGGGTACCTGGATGGTTCAGTCGGTCAAGCGTCCAGCTCTTTCTCATGATCTCAGGGTCATGGGATTAAGTGGGGAGTCTGCTTGAGATTCTCTCCCTCTCTCCCTACCTCCCCCCAGATCTCTCCCTCTCTTTCAAATAAACACATAAATCTTAAAAAAGAGATTGCCAAGAGTGGAATGGTAGAGATCAGACTTGGGTCAAACAGAACTTCTTCAAAAAATTAAATACTTGCCATCAAGGCTCATCTTCCTACTCAAGGTACAAGTAATCCTTGTCTTTTACATCTTTCATTGGGATGGTAGCATTATTCAATTCTACTTGGTACAAGTGCTGTACTTATTTATCAACTACTTTGCATCAGGCTTTGTGGGAGACAGGTTTGCAAGAGTGCCAGGGCTCTAACAACAGAAAAATTCAATTGCAATGTGGAACAATGGTATTTGAACTGTCACCAGGTGGCAGCACATTATGTATTGCCATAAGAATGATATAGAAAAGGCTTTGGGCCAATGGTACTGGGCTGGGGGATTTTTTTTCTCCTTTTGGAGATACTGTGAGCTACCAATTAATCTAACTAAAACTATCCTGTTAAGGCTACTCTGCTCAAGAACCTTTGACAGTTCTCACAGCATAAAATAGAAAGGACAAATTAGGCATTTAAACCCACATTTAACCTCCATTGTTGTCTCCTATCACATATCTTCAAAATTTTTTTTATTTAAGTGTAGTTGACACACAATAATACATTAGTTTCAGGTGTACAACATAGTGATTGGACAAGTTTATACATTATGGTATGCTCACCACAAGTGTAGCTACCATCTGTTACCACACAATGCTAATATAATATCATCGACTACATACCTTATGCTGTGCCTTTTATTCTCATGATTTATTCATTCCATAACTGAAAGCCTGTCACTTCCCTTCACCCATTTTGTCCCTGTCCTCTCCAGCAAACATCAGTTTGTCCTCCATATGTAGATTCCATAACCAGGCTACAGGTCTGGTTATGCTTTTTGTTTGTTTATTAATTCGTTGTTTTTTAGATTCCACATATGAATGAAATCATACGTTTCTTAAACTTTATTGCCACAGGAATGCACACCACCTATACTCCTATTCAAATCCCACTCATCTGTCAAGACCCTTCCAGTAGGAGGCACGTCTAAAGATGTCTGAAAAGAGGTCTCTTATCCAAGGGAGTACTGGTGCAGGAAGGCCCATACTCCAGTGTTTCTTTGCCTGCTCTCGCCCTGGAAGCTCTCGCCCTGTTCCAATCTGCTCAGGCGTGAGATAATGAGCACCTGAAGTCCAGGTATATGGAAAGCATGAGGAAGGAAATATGTGCATGTTGGACAGAATTCTTATTCCCTATGCAGCTTTTTCAAAATTTTCAGTTTTCAAGCCAGCTCAAATGTTATCACCTCCAAGAAGCCTTCACCGAATTAAATCTCGGTCTAGATGAATAGCTGCCTCGGCATTTTAACCCTATCCATTGCTCTTAACCAAGAATAGTTTATGTATCAGTTTTTCCACTAAGGTCCTGCAGGATTCTGCTTTCATATAGGTTTTCTTTATTCAGGTAGTCCTTACTTAGCTATACCCTTCACCAATCGAAAAGCCGCGTCAGTGGAATCCATTTTCTGTTGGTTTTATTAATTACCAATGATTGTTCCCTCTCGTGTTTATTGTCCCGCCCCCCCCCGCCCCCCTGCGTGGAGGCTTGGGACTTGGGTTTCCCCCAGGTGTATTCCCTCCTCCTTGGTTCCGCCTTCCCAACACACTGCCTCTTCTGTTTTTAACCTCCTCTTCCTTCCTATTGGTTCTCTTCGTCTTACAGTCTTCCAGAGTTGGCGCCTAGGGCTGTTGATTGGCTTTCCCGGACGCCTATTGAGTCCACCCTCATACCACGTGGCATTCCTAATGCTAATTGGGTAATTCCACTAGCTCGTTTATCAAAGATTGACGATTGATTGGCTGCTCGGAGGCTTGAGGAGAGGGGCGTGCTCACCTTAAGCCCCGCCCAAGTCCCCAAGCCTGGCTGGGCAGGCGTTTCAGTCGCTCGCGGCCGCGGAGCTCAGCGGAGCTCAGCGGAGTTTCAGCTTCCTTTTCTGGCTCGCCGTTGGGATCCTTCTGGCCCTGCCAAACGGACGGGGGGAACGGTCCCGACTGCGGGGCCATGGCAGTAGCCTCCTCGTCCTTCGCTGCCGCTAGTTCCGCCGAGTCGCCGGCCTCTGCGCGAGGGACCCCCACCACCTCCGCAGGCTAAGAGCCTCTGCCGCTTCCGAGCTGTGAGGGCTACTATGCTCCCACTTTGCTGCTGCCTCCGCCTCCCGCCCGCGCCGGCACCCCTCTGGCTTCTCAGTCCCGCCTCAGGTAACGCCAAGAGAGCGCATAGGGCACAAGCCCGGGGGCCCCGGCCCGCGCGCGCGGCTCCTACACCGCCGCGGCTCCGGAGTATTGGCGCTAGGGTCTCTCAGCACCGACAGGACCCCTTCGCTTCCCAAGGTCCTCCTCTGAGCGGCTGGGGGATACTCCTCGATCCCTTTCCCTTCCCTTTTCACTTTCCTCAGGGTCCCGGGACAGCCCCCACCCCTACCCCCGCTTCCTCCCCTCAGAGGCCGGGAACCCATTAGAAGTTCCTTCGTATCAGGGACCTGGTCCTTGACTCTTCTCACGGACTTTTCTCACTTCAGACACTCAGGAAGCCCTCATTTTCTCGGAGAACTCTTGTTTCAGATAGCTCCAACTCCACACAGAGCCTCCCTCGTCCCTCAGAGATCTGGACTCCTTCACTTTACTTCCCTCAAACATCCTCTTACCTGGAAACTTTCCCCTTCTACGTTGAAGTACTCTGCCCTCACCTCCCACCCCTCCCCAAGACACTACCGCGTCCCTCTCTTTTCCCTCTTCCTGTCATCCTTATTCTCCCCATCCTTCCTTTTCCCTCTTCTGTCTTTTACACTTGGAAGACTCTGGACTAAGCCAGGATTTAGATTTAGCTAGAAATGAAACCCATGTTTGTCTGATTTAAAGACCTTTCCGTTTATAACTCTGAGAAAACCTTGCTGAAGAATTTGGACTTTATTCTGTAGGTATGGGGAGCCACTGAAGGTTTTGTAAGCAGGAGTTTGGTATGATTGATTATCTCTGGTGAGCATGTGGAGGAAGAATTGAAAGTGAAGACAGTGTTGAGGCAGAAAGCCTAGGTAGGCAGGAAACGAGTGCGCTAATCCAGGTCAGAGGGGATGAACTGGACTAGTGGTAGGAAAATGAAGAGGATGGCGTGCACCTCCAGGAGGTTTCAATTCCATGAAGTTTCCAGAGTTGAGAGGGTTAGTGGAGGTTTCTGACTTCGTTGGTGGGATGCATTGGTAGTGTTAATTGTAATAGGGAACATAAAGAAGCAGTTTTGAGGAAAGGTAATGAATTTCGTTTTGGACATGTTTAATTTGAGGTGTTTTTCAGATATCACTGTGGTTTGCTGGAAATTTGGGTCTGAAAATTGGGAGTGAGGTTGGAACTGAATACCTAAATTTGAGGGTCAACAGAGAATATAAAACAGGGATATTTGAAGATTTAGTATGGGATGGTAATACTGAAAGAGAAAAGGGCTGTGGACCAGAAGGAACATCATTGTTTGAAGGGTAATAGACACTGAGAAAAAGAGG